TTAGTAATCATGTCTGATGAACCTTTTACATTAGTGGAATGTGTAACAAACAAAATTGCAGAATATGAGGTTCTGAAAACCCCACTTATTTTAATGAATTTGAAAGAGATAGTCCAAAAGTTAACGTTTGGTGTGGGTTGTCCCCTAGAAAAATGTATGGTCCTTTTTTCTTTACCGAACCAACTGTGACAGGTACAAATTACACGGATATGTTGGAACAGTTTTTTTATCCACAATTAGTTCAAGATGGAACTCTAGATATCATTTACTTTCAACAAGATAGCGCACCACCTCATTTTTCAATGATAGCACGAGATTCGTTAAATAATTTTTTTAATCAAAAGTGGATAGGTCGGGCTGGATCGATTGAGTGGTCACCGCGATCTCCTGATCTAACTGTCCCAGATTTTTTTCTCTGGGGATATGTGAAGGATAAAGTCCTAAGCCTAACAGCATAGAAGAACTAAAAGATAACATTAGGAACATTATCGAAAATATTCCGCCAGGTATGTTAGAAAAATCGTTTGAAAGTTTAAAATTTCGCTTGCGTATGTGCATTGAACAAGAGGGTAGACACATACAGCATTTGTTGTATCTTCCACAGCCTTCATTATTAATTATTTGTTTTGTAATCTATATTAAATTTTTGTTGTTTTGTTACTGAACAAATTATTTTTGTTAATTTTATTTAATGTCAGTTTTTAACTTATTAGTGCCCACCAGCGCCCTATCAGAAAAAAATATTAAATTAGGTTTTTTTTAACTAAAAATATCCTCCTCTTACTTGTACTTACAATAAAAAATGTTTTTTTCTTTTATACTTTTTAAAAAATGTGTGTACCCAAATGAGTACAATGGGATAATAAGTTTTACCAAAAATACTTTACTTTATATTTATTATTTTGTATGTCAATTATTATAATACTGTAAAGCAACAACTAAGAATGAAATATTTTGAAACACTCTCGTTCAATGCACAGAGTCACATTACATTTTTCACATATCCATCTAGCCCTCATATGACATTGACGACATCAGAGCTGGTTCTCAATTTTTTTGGGGAAATGTCCAACCGGATCTTCCAATATACTTCTTGGTAATGAACCAGAAGGCCTACTAGATACAGATCTTTCTACAGCCTTATTATAGGAGCGTAGATAGTGACGAGTAATGCTTTTAAAAAATTGCAAAAGATCCACTTTGTCATTGGGGTAAATAATTTTATGTAATCTCCAGGCATATACAATAGTTACGTTTATCATGTGAGTAAAGAGAACCCACCACCATTTTATACCGTGGACAGCAATTCTATAATTATTGACCCCTTGATCTAACAGATCAACACCGCCCATACGGTAGTTATAGTTTTTAAAAAGTTGCAGTTGGGGTACTGAAATTTTCTCTTTTCTTTTCGAAGACCATCTCTTGACTTGTGCTAAAGGTTCGACTGAATCATAGTTTTTAACTATCGTTACTGCACTATTATCATTCCATCTAACAAATAGAAGATGGTTTCTTTTATCGTATTGAAAATCAAAGAATCCACGATCTTTTTTTTTTATTTTCTTGGCAGGTAGAGGACATTTTTTTGTACGATTATCCCGTACAGTACCAGTAGCTCGTATTCCATGCTTTCGAAGTGTATTTAAAAGATCATGGCTTGCAAAATAATTGTCGAAAAATAGGACATGATCACTTGGGGTATCAATTTTACAAAATCAAGAACCACTCGTGAACCTAGTGGAAGTGTGGTTTTAATTTTAGTTGGTCCTTGACTAGATGACGGTTTAGCTCCACAATATGTATCGAATGAATAGCAATATCCATACTAGCTACACAACATCCAGTCTTTGTACCCGAAACGAACCTCTTATAAATTGCTTCGCAGAGTGATGACCATAGTATTTAACCATAGCTTCGTCTATAGACAAGAATTTGTAAAAAATTCCCAATGGGGAATTTTTTTTAACAATGGTTAAAACTTTGAATTGAGAATGTTCATAAGTGGTCGAATCTTGTACATTTTGTCCTCACTATCAAGTATTCTGTTATCTGCTAAATGTAAATGTTTTTATTTTAGTCAATCTGTTTCGACTAATTGCATTCGAAATAAAAGGAACTCCAACATCCTCATCAAGATTTCAATAAAGGCGCTCACGAGGTGATTTATGGTACCCAGAGAAGAGAAGCACACCAACAAAAAATTTTAAATCTTCTTTAGTTGTTACAAAGTTATGATTGTTTTTAGATGCCGCATAAATATTGGTTTGATCGACAACATGTTGAACAACTTTGTCATCAAATAGTTTTTCGAAAATCTCTACAGCATTTAGCCCTCTTAGATCTTGGCGAAGTTGTTCTAACCGATAATCGGCTCCATCTGTGCTAGGCAACTCTAATACCGTATGTACTTGCGTCCAATTAGGGTTCCCCTTTAGAAGATGCCATCTCTCTAACAGTGGGGTATTATTCAAATTTTCAGTCGTATTATCTGGTTGTATAATTTGAAGATCCGTCAGTGACAGGTCGTCTTCTTCTTCTTCAAAATCAATCCCATTGAGGTCAATCTCCACCTCACCTGGAATATCTTCTGGTAAGTTTGCAACTAATAAATCGTCTTCATCGAATTCTTCCTCGTCCGTTTAATAATCCACTTCTGGTGGAATTATAACGACATCAAGTTCTGAATTCCCAATATTTGCCTGTTCAACAGCATCAACTGCAGAAGCTAAGGTTTTGAATCTTTTACCATAAAAAGAGCTACATAGTTGGAATTTCGTTGATGTCCATTGTAAAATGTTCCTGGAAAAAAATCCAGTGTACTCATGTGCCCAATGTACTCAAACGACTACACCGAGATTAACATAAGAATAACAAACAAACCTAATATCGTAGAACTATTTACATATGATCATAATGTTGACACATAACCTATAAAACATTTTTAACACATTTATCCTATAACACTTATTTACAATGTCGGTCATAGTGTATAATGTCAACTCACCTCTAATTACATCAACAACACGTAGAAGCGCGGCACTGATATTTACTGCCAGATCTAACAGGATAACAATTTTTGAAAACGACTACCACAGTTGTCGTAAAATAACACTTGTAAACAATGACTCTATGTTACATTTACAAAATACGGCGTTGTGTGGCGTTGCGATCGCGATATTGTAGGTGTACTCAAATGAGTACACTGGGCGTTAATGGGTTAAATAAAGAAAACAGCGGTGTTACTTAAAAATTCGAAAATCTGTATTGGTAAGAAAACAAAAGATATCAAACTATACATTTTTAAAAAGTAGATGAATCTCTCTTTTGAATGCCATCAAAATATACAGGGTGTTCCATTTAAAATAATACATATTTTTTCCATTCAAGTTTACCAACATTAATGGATCACCCTGTATTGATGTGATAAAATGTGAACAAACAGGAAAAAAAACTTTTGGATAAACGAAATCAATTAGTGAAAACCCCATCTATTTAGAGCAATTAATAAGATGTGCATTTACATTTAAAATCGATCACTCTTATTTGGGACACCCTGAATATTATTAAATTGAAAAAAAATAAATTAAATTATTAATATATAAGAACTATCAATACTAAAACTTGTTGCTCTGTAGTCAATACACTCAAATTTGACAATTTTCTTTACGCACTCAGTACGTAAATAAAAACTACGCACTAGTGCGTGAAGTAAAGTTTTACGAACTTTGTAGCGTGCAAAATGATAGTACTTTAAGAACGGTAGCAGAAAAACTAGTTTATACAACTAGTACCAAAAGAGTTAATTATTCGCCTTAGACCCGTTCTGTGAAAAATCCTATTAATTTGATACTTTTAATATTATTAGATTATGTGGTAACCAGCAATATAAAATTTATTACGAAAGTATTTCCTATAGATAACAAATATAGTCGAAGCAATGAAGCAAAAAGTTCCTGGATTTTTCCGTGCAAGTCGGATCGGAATACGGTTTTTTGCATTCGCTTGCAAAAATTATTTGTATCATTCCCCCGTAATTTCCGGGTCATACAAACCGGAAATTGCATTGCTGCAGCCAAAAATGCTTTCAAAAAATGCATTATTTGAGTGGCCTCTTGGATGATTTCAAAACTCGTTAAATAAGTGTCAGAACTAGCCCAGATCGGGTTCTCGGGGGTTTTCGAGGTCGCTGATCACAATTGTGATGTCTAAATTGACCCACAGCCGACCTGGAGCTCAGGAACGTCGACGAACGTCATCTTCCCAAAATTCACGCGGGGAAGGAGGGCAACTAGGCGATCGGTGTTTTTTTGGGTCGCTGAATCCAAATATGATATCGGCGAATACCCCCAGGACACCTGGTGCGTCCAAACCTCGACCTGGACGTCATCTCCGAGAATTTTCCTCACAATATCGACAACAACAACCCGAAAATGATTGATCGGAGTTTTTTGGGGCGCTGAATCTAAATTTCACGTCGAAAACGACCCCCTGAACACCTGGTGCACCGGAACTTGGCCCTGAACGTCATCCCTGAGGTGTTTCCAGACACAATTGAAAAAGACGAACCGAAAATCGTTCCGGCTGTTTTTTTGTGGCGCTGAATCCGAATTTCACGGGGAAAACGACCCCTCGAACACCTGGTGCGCCCTAACTTGGCCCTGAACGTCTGAACGTCTTTACCGAGGTTCTTCCAGACCCAATTGAAAAAGACGAACCGAAAATCGTTAAAGGGGGGGGGGGGGAGTTGGGTCGCTGAATTCAAATATGGCATCGGCCAACACCGCATGGACACCTGGTGCGTCTGAACCTAGACCTGGACGTCATCTCCGAGGCGTCAATACTGCAATAGCTGTGTGCAATTGTTGATTCTAGATTACGTGAGGAGGAAAGAAAGATAATTAATAGAAACGCAATATTTGTGTAATTTACGGTAAAACAATTTTTATTGGCCTCAAATTGAATACAATGAACCTGTAAGTTTGTCATTCCTTAATTAATTAATAACTCAAATGTGTCTGGTCATTTTTATCGACTGATGTATTCATACGGGGAATATCTCCCTCATCTGAGGCCTCTGTCTCTGGCACAGTAACGTTTTCATCTGAATATCTTTCAGTGTTAAGGCAAGTTGAACAAATTTTACAGGCAATATTGCAAGGTAGGCCATGCTTCCTGCATCTACAGGTGTTCAGATTACAATCTCCTTTGAATACACAGCATATTAGTTCCATAATATTCTTGGGCGCAGGTTTTTCTTCCATCTGTACAGGCACTAGTTTGTGGCCTTCCTTTCTCCACCCCCATTTTGTTGGGTCCATGGTCAGCTGGTATCCGTGCAGCCATTGTTGTACTTGAAAATAGACCCTTTTTAGATGTTGTTGAATGGCGTCTACTGTAGGGAGAATATTGGCCAAATTTACTCTCCCCGTCGCAGCGGTTCTCCTGTACATTTCGCACCTGTACGTTTGGAGTAACTGGTCCCATTTTAGCTTGTCAGGAATATTTGGTTTCCTGAATAACATTGGAGCACTGTACATTGCCAGGATTAGCTGCGCCCCGTTCTCAAAAATTATTTCGCTGGACAAACCAGCTTTCTTGAACTTCGCAGCATGATCTCCAAGGTCTGGGAAGTTCTGGAAGGTCTTGAAAAAATTTGTCTTTCCCTGGTAATACGTTCCTGAAACGGTATTGCACCCTGTTATTGCATGGAGCAACAAAATATTATCCTCAACTACTGGCATATGCGACAAGCTCCGCGAAGAGTATACTGCTTCAGGTTTATTGGCCCTTGCAGGTTTCCGTAAAAATATTTCTCTGTCAGCTGGGCAGAGTGCGGTGAGTAGTACGGCAACATCTGTATCTTCTGCGACTATGACTACCTTTTTGGTCAGGTCCTCAGATTCTTTTAAAGCTGTCGTTACAATCGTACGATCAGCATACGCTGCAGATTGGTCTGAAAATATCCCGATTGTCGACAGTTTGACACGGAGCATTTCAATAATATTACTTTTATTGTTCTTATTTTGTAATAATTTATCCTGTTGTATTTGTAACGTTATATTCTCGCTAAAACAGACGTCCGCTGAACTTCCCCGATTAGCGCGACGGTTTCTTTTACACCCTTTAGTACTGACGGTTTGGTAACCGTCAAAAATAACTATCACTCGTTTGCCAAAATGGTTCAAAATGTAGTTTTTGTAATTGTCCATGATCGCCGAGAATTTTTGTCCATTAGTCCACTTGACTTTGTGGATCAGTAATCCTCCATCCAGAACAAAAAATGCTCTCTCAGGATCATAAAGCGATTTAAAAATTGGCGGGCTTGATAATTTAGATATTTGAAGCAATTTAAAGTAACATTTTTCTATTTGACAATTTTTACTTACAACTACCAAACAAACAATAAGTTTAGTGAATTTTTGTTGTAGGTAAATGTTGAAAAATGGAAAATGTCACTTGTTTTATTTGAAAAATAAAATTAGTTGAAAAATAAAATGCATTTTTAACAAGTTTAATTTATTTAGAATTACCATGTAATTACATGTGTCTCATTATCTTCTAACTGCATATTTTGAACATAACAAGCACTATATCACACACTAAATTACTGAGAAATAAAAATATAATATGATAACTAGCATAGCACATGACAATGTTTTTATTATTAAAAAAACAGAAAAATTCTCGGAGATGACGTCCAGGTCCAGATTCGGACGCACCAGGTGTCCGTGGGGTGTTCGTTGATGCCATATTTGAATTCAGCGACCCAAAATCCCCCCTTTAACGATTTTCGGTTCGTCTTTTTCAATTGGGTCTGGAAAACCTCGGTGAAGAAGTTCAGGGCCAGGTTAGGGCGCACCAAGTGTTCGGGGGTCGTTTCCACGTGAAATTCGGATTCAGCGCCCCAAAAAAACCCCCGGAACGATTTTCGATTCGTCTTTTTTAATTGTGTCTGGAAACCCCTCGGGGATGACGTTAAGGGCCAAGTTCCGGTGCACCAGGTGTTCAGGGGGTCGTTTTCGGGTTGTTGTTGTCGATATTGTGAGGAAAATTCTCGGAGATGACGTCCATGTCGAGGTTTGGGCGCACAAGGTGTCCTGGGGGTATTTTCCGATGCCCTATTTGGATTCAGCGACCCAAAAAACCACGATCGCCTAGTTGCCCTCCTTCCCCGAGTGAATTTTGTAAGAGCCACACGAAGATGACGTTCGTCGACGTTCCTGGGCTACAGGTCGGCTGTGGGTCAATTTAGACATCATAATCGTGATCAGGGACCTCGAAAACCCCCGAGCACCCGATCTGGGCTAGTTCTGACACTTATTTAACAAGTTTTAAAATCATCCAAGAGGCCTCTCAAATAATGCATTTTGTGAATGCATTTTTGGCTGCAGCAATGCAATTTCCGGTTTGTATGACCCGAAAATTATGGAAGAGTGATACAAATAATTTTTGCAAGCGAATGCAAAAAACCGCATTCCGATTCGACTTGCACGGAAAAACCCAGGAACTTTGGCCTTTTTAGTGCTTCATTACCTCGACTAATAAGGTTCCTTAACATTTTGTGTTTTTGAAAGACGAATATCTGTGAGAACCTACCCTGCTATGCAAATTCCGATGTAGGATCGCCATCCGATGCCTGTCACCTAATTTTTGGAACCATTAATATTACCGCTAATATTTTTGACCAACGTGGGGACACGTTGAAAGTATATAAACAATCCATAGATCTTATGGCGGCAATTTGTTTTGCCATACATCATGATATTCAAAGCGGTGAGTTTGTATATTTTATCTAGGACAAATTTAATCAAAACGAATTAGAATGTGAAGATCTATCGAAATTAATTTATTATTTCACGGTTAAGCTACCAGTGTAATTATAATATAATTAAAATAGTTTAAGTGCTTCAAAATAAGATGGAAATGTGACAGTGATCAAGTGTTCGTTTTTCATATGAAATTATTTTAGTGAGATTATGTATGAATAACATTTATTGAAAATAACATTTATAGTCGACTTCTACGTAACACAACTATTTTTTCGCATTTTGGACATTTAACTTATCTTTATATTATACATTTGCTATCTCAATAATTGCATACATTTTGATTGAAAGATTGTAAGCTATTTTGTAGTAATTTGTAGCATTTACGATTTATTTTTTAATAATTTTTCTAAACTTTTTCATTCGTTTTTAACAAAAATCTAAGTTGTTAGAAGCGAAAGTTTATTTATTAATTTATTAATTCTTGTAATTTTTTATAGTAGCTTAGAATCATTTATAATACAACTAGGGTCTAAATTATTTTCGGAAAATTCCGAAAAATAATTTAGAAACGTATGATATTCAGTAAGAAAATTTTACACCAAAATTTCAAAACTTAATAGACATGAATTAAATTGCCAAAAATCAAATTTTCAAAGTTGGTCATACGTTTTTTAAAATAGAAGCTACTCTCAAATGCTAAAAAAATCCAGTGTAATTTGGTGAAAGCAAGTGAAAAAACTTTCGGAAATTTTTCTGATTGTCATGGAACAGTTTTAAAATATGAGCATTTGATTGCATATAAAATAGAAGTTTAAAATTTTCTATTAAAATGTTCCATCTATATTTTCTAGTTAGTAAGATTCTATTATTTTAAATGGTTAGCATGGCATTAACAAATTTCTAGCAGTCTTCTATCTGATACTACCAAGTAATGATTTCATTACATTTTTTTTATCAAATTATGACTGTATACCACCACTTACCACTTATTTTTTTTAATATTACAAAATTAATATATTTTTAGACAGTTAGGTTGGTCAAACTAGTAAGATAGCCAAACATTTAACTTAAATTGTTTATATTTATTTAAAATATTAAACAAGATACAATTTTAATACAAATTAAAAACTTTTTATTTTCGATACATCTTCACATTTTAAGTGTTTCTTTTAGTCATCTTTCTATCATAAATATAAAAATACTTGATTAATTATCGAATAAATGTGTGACTTTTACATATTAATAGCATCAAATATTTTTTCTACTATCGTACATATTGTTCACTAATTGTAAGATTAGAAATAAAAGTGTAGAGTATTTAAAGTAATAAATGTTCATATTTTGAAGTTTAGAAACTAAATAATTCTTACAAAACAAAATAACAATAACACTTGAAACAATAATCAATAAATTATGTTTTTAGTTGTTAGAAATAATATTACTGAGGCCAGTGGCGGATCGTGCAAATTTAAAATAATTTTATCATTTGTGAGTTCGGGTCAAAACTTTGTACAAGAGTCAATATCGCTGTTTTTTTTTATTATTTGAGTTTGTATTAAGTGTATTTATTAATATTAATATCATACTGTTTTCAAGTACTACAACTATTATTAAATAAATATTTTAGTTAGTGTAATATTTGTTTTGTTTTTAATACGTTAAAAACCACCTATAAACATTATTAGTTAGTAAACTAACTTTTCTTCATAATTTAAGATTATTTTTTAATATATATAAAAATTTATATGAAACTTTATCTACCATTTTTTAGCTTTTATTGTAAGATTAATCATTTTCACAATTTGTCACAGGCAAATAAAATAAGAACTAAAATGTTTAAAATGCTTATTTTATAAGATCAGTCCCATCACAATACATAATATTACACAGACACAAACTAGAACATATGTAATTCCTAGCATTCTAAATGATATTCTTCGCACTTTAACAGAGCCCCTTAACCCCCATTTTCAACCAGATTGTTTTCACATTTAAGATAGATCTCTTGATTTTTAATAAAAAGTTCATGTTAATATCGCTTTTCATTTTTGATTTTTTTTTAATTTCAACCCCCCATATTTAATCAGATTTTTTTTTATAATTAAAGGGCTTCTTATCCTTTTAGAGATTGATGTTTGTTAAAAATTTCAAGTTTATATCATTTTTTTTTATATTTTAACCCCCTTATCTCTCCAATATAATTATATTTTTTTCAGTATCAATAGGCTTTATCTTCTTTTTATGTTGATATCGCTTTTCGTTTTTAATTTAGGATTATTTTTTTAATTTCAACCCATCTTAACTCCCTATTTTTAATCAGATTTGTTAAAAATCAATAGGCTTTGTGCCCTTATAGAGCTTGATGTTTGCTTAAAATTTTCAAGTTGATAATATTTCTCGTTTTTGACTTATCGTGCATACAAAAAACGTGACATCGGACAGACAGACAAAGTAAACTTATAATACTCTTCACAGAAGAGTAGAAAAAAAAATGTATAAGGTAAAATAAACAATTTAAAAAGGTCAACAATAATATCCAACTTATTTTATCAACGAATACTAAAAGTTTGAAATAGCAGCACATTATTGAACATTTTCAAAAATCTGTCAACTATACTAGTGAGATACACAACGTAAGATGTTCTCACACTTAATTCTCTATATGACCCTTTCTAAGTGTATTTCACAGCACATTCCAAAGTATTCTTGCTCTCGCTGTCCTACCCTCATGGTAGGAATAATAGTATTTTGTCTAAATAGGTTAATCGACTTCATTTGTATTTTCAAATTATTGTTTAATTGTAGATAGTATATTAATGTTTTGATATGTACTTATAGCATTGATTAGCCAGAGCATGTAGATATGTGGGATGTGACTTGTTTAGTGTCTAACCAAAATTATAATTTATGTTTGATACTTATTGCTTTTTTCGAGACGTACTTTATTACCAACTGTAAACTAATTTACTAACAGCCTTATTTTTATTTAATACCTGCAGTGATCCAAATTACCATAACATCTAATATTTTTAAAAATAATAAATTATACAAATGAGGCAATAAAAAAATGTCATTAAAATAAAAGATTTTTGGTTTGTACGCAACAAACGATCTAGGGTTAGAGGTTAGAGGGTAACACGATTGATAATTACAGGCTTACATAACTTTATATAGGTAAACTATACCATACCTACATACCATTTCTTAGGTAAAATTTCTCATCGAGTATATTAAATTAACTGGTTGATCCATTTTTCCGATTCAGACTTTTAAAGTGAAAAACCATTTGTCTCTTTATCTTTATCAAATTTGTATTGTACATTTCCATTTTCATAGTTACCTCATCAGAATAATGATTTTTTTCCTTTTAGCGGGATTTGTGGAAAAACATTTTTTTTGCTTACTTCTTACTTTATAGTATTTACAATTGGGTAGTCTTTGGATGGTCTTAGACACTGAAACAAAATATAAAACAAATTACAGTGGTAAAACTTTATTATAGGTAAATAAAACAACATAACCGTAAAAAGTTTTTATTTACCTTGCCTTAAAGAAGTTTTTCGGTAACAATCGTTAAACTGACACACATCCTTCCAATTTATTAAAGTTACATTTTTTTAAATGATCACAAATAATAAAATAATCTTAATTTTATTAAAACCCTTTCATAGTAGAGGAATGAGAAATGACGAAAGACGGAATGACAGCTTGTTTGATTTGGTATACTGTTGCCAGAATATGTTTTTGTTATGTACCAGATTTGTCTAAAAAATATACCAGATTCCTTAAATATATCAGATTTTTGAATTTTATTTGCAATGACATCTAATTCATTGAAAGGGAAAAGAAGGGGGTCTTTATTGATAAAAAACCCAAACAAGGAACACAATAAATATATATATTTTACACGTGAACACTGATGCACGCAGAAAGTACTACATCTGGTACAATTGTGGATTGTACTAGACTGGCAATACTGGTTTGGCAACCTTGTTTGTAAGCGGCGCGCCAATTTAGTGTGATATTTTGAAGTTTAAAGGATCTGTTGGCGTGTTGTCTTCTCTTTTTTGCTATATACATTCGCCAAATCGTCTCACTCATGTTAGGCTCACTCATCATAATGCGCCACAGACCAAGTATACTTAGGTATGCTGTGCCACAGAGACGCGATTAGCCAGAGGGCAATGATGTACCAAAAAATATAGATTAACAAGTATGAAAATAAAAATATTAAAATTAAATTTATATTTTTATGTTATTTATGTAATATTAAAATAATGTGTTTTTATGAAATTTAACTGGGTGTTCACTGCACAAATGAACCAATGGAGAAACCGCCCCTGACTGAGGCCCTTCCTATGGGGATTCAGTATTACATTCGTGCAGACAGAACAATTTTCTTAACCCCAATTTTTAAGACTTTTTTGACGTTTCCGATCATTCCGAAACTGCAAAAAAAAATTTCTTCTGGTCGTCTGTGCGTATGTGTGCCGACTCGATAACACTAGAAAGAAAGATCTGATTGACTTTCTTAAAATCCAATTTATTTCTTATATGGCTCATTTTATGCATTCCAGTCGTTTCTATATAGTAAAATCAGAATAATGCTTGGCCATTCCTATCAACTGTGAAACCACAAATATTTGTTTCGATATTGGTGTCGCTCTTAAATGTCAAATCATTTAAAAATGTTTCAACGTCACTTAAAAGATTTAAAAAATATACCTAGGTATTTTGGTAGATATTTATTTTTAACATTTATTAATATAATTTTAAAATATTTACACAAGTCAATAATATGTTTTTTTTTCTGGTTAACTGGTAGGTATATTTTCAGAATTTTCGGTTTAACTTTAGTGTTTTAAATATGTTATTTTTTGTTGTTGTTAAAATTCAGTGCATATTTTATGTACTTTAGCAAGGGTGGTATACGTATTGATTTTATAATATTATAAAATTTATGAATTTGGACTTTTTAAGTGTAGAGTTCTTGTGATATTACTT